AAGACAGTATGACGTGTATTTATGCATGGTTTTGTTTTGATCTCCGTATGAAATAAGAGCATGGTGAGCTTACATATACCCGGGTTCATGTAAATATAGGTCAGTAGGAATCGATAAATGTCTTGATCTTGCTAATTGATTATCAATACATCAATCATTATGACATGTCTTAAGTGCTGGGACGGATGGGTAGCCTAGTGGTTAAAGCGTTTGCACACGCCGAAGGCCCGGGTTCGATTCCCCACATGGGTACAATGTGTGCAGCCCAGTTATGTTGCCCCCCCCCCCCCCCCCCCCCCCCAAGTCCCCTGGCAGACCATGTACATGTAGCGTTAAAACGACGAGTGTGTATGTCGAAAGTACACATGTCTGAACAATCTAGGAAGTACACATGTCTGAACAATCTAGGAAGTACACGCATTTGAACAATCTAGGGAGTACTCGTGTCTGAACAATCTAAGAAGTACACGTGTTTGAACAATCTAGGAAGTACACGTGTCTGAACAATCTAGGAAGTACACGCGTCTGAACAATCTAGGAAGTACACGCGTCTGGACAATCTAGGAAGTACATGTGTCTGAACAATCTAGGAAGTACACGAGTCTGAACAATCTAAGAAGTACACGTGTCTGAACAATCTAGGAAGTACACGCGTCTGAACAATCTAAGAAGTACACGCGTCTGGACAATCTAGGAAGTACATGTGTCTGAACAATCTAGGAAGTACACGAGTCTGAACAATCTAAGAAGTACACGTGTCTGAACAATCTAGGAAGTACACGTGTCTGAACAATCTAGGAAGTACACGCGTCTGAACAATCTAGAAAGAACACGTGTCTGAACAATCTAGGAAGTACTGATGTCTGAACAATCTAGGAAGTACACGTGTCTGAACAATCTAGGAAGTACACATGTCTGAACAATTTAGGAAGTACACTTGTCTGGAAAATCTAGGAAGTACACGTGTCTGAACAATCTAGGAAGTACACGTGTCTGAACAATCTAGGAAGTACACATGTCTGAACAATCTAGGAAGTACACGTGTCTGAACAATCTAGGAAGTACACGTGTCTGAACAATCTAGGAAGTACACATGTCTGAACAATCTAGGAAGTACACTTGTCTGGAAAATCTAGGAAGCACACGTGTCTGAACAAATCTAGGAAGTACACGTGTCTGAACAATCTAGGAAGTACACATGTCTGAACAATCTAGGAAGTACACGCATTTGAACAATCTAGGGAGTACTCGTGTCTGAACAATCTAAGAAGTACACGTGTTTGAACAATCTAGGAAGTACACGTGTCTGAACAATCTAGGAAGTACACGCATCTGAACAATCTAGGAAGTACACGCGTCTGGACAATCTAAGAAGTACACGTGTCTGAACAATCTAGGAAGTACACGCGTCTGGACAATCTAGGAAGTACACGCGTCTGGACAATCTAGGAAGTACTGATGTCTGAACAATCTAGGAAGTACACGTGTCTGAACAATCTAGGAAGTACACGTGTCTGAACAATCTAGGAAGTACTGATGTCTGAACAATCTAGGAAGTACACTTGTCTGGAAAATCTAGGAAGCACACGTGTCTGAACAATCTAGGAAGTACACGTGTCTGAACAATCTAGGAAGTACATGTCTGAACAATCTAGGAAGTACTTGCTGCACCATCGCACTTTTGCTGCAGACTCTGCGTGTTGTTTAACAGTACACCCGTTTTTGTTTTGATGAGATTTCAGTACTGCACACAGTACTTTTAAATTGTATATCGATATATCTCGAATTATTGCTGGTGGTAAAAGTTAATTGTCTTGACATGATTCCTCTCCATTAAACATGACTTGACGCAACATGTATACTAAGACGATGTATTTGTCTGGATCATTACACGTCATACCAATAGGTCATCTGGGAAATATACGTGGTTCTTAAGTCTTGGAGATGCATGTATTTAAACAGTATCGGGAGATTATTACGCCTTGACAAGAGCATATAGTTTCTCTCCAATGTATTTTCCATCGCAGTATCCACGTCTTTAAGTTATAGGTTTCGTTTGGTGGATACACTTTAGTACAATGTACATCACTATTTTCTAAACATATAACAATAGATATCTTCGATATAATCCTATTATCTTTGCTGAGCCAATTCTGTTCGTGGTACAATAAATATTGAAAATACACATCAGATATTTATCGAGACGCTAATTATTCGATATTTGATTGATTGTCTCAGGCATTTCAAAATTGTATTGAAAGAACAGTGTTCGTCCCTATACAAACCATAAGTGTATTGATTATATATAGTCTGCTGTTATGCCAAAAAAGATGCTTTCCAAAGATATAACAGCAAAATAACATTGCTCTTGAAACTGCAACCTCAACGCCAGAGAAAAAACAGTCTCGATTATCAACTGACAAAAAATCCATTTGGGGCAAAAGGCAAAATAGCGGTGTAAATAATAATTTTTTTATGAATGGATCACTGAAAATCAGTAATGACACCAGGTTTTCGCGAAAAGGGTAAGCTCATTCTGTTCAAAACAGTTGTAATTAACCTTTCTTCAAGAAAACAATCGATGTACTCCACAGATAACAGATCCCATATATCATCAGCTGACGGTACTGTTACAGTGGAATTCAAGCAAGTGAATACAGGTCCTCCGCGGGGCGCCAGGAGCATACGGTTACTATGAACAATGTTTGTACATAGATGCTACCTTAAGATAAGAACCATACAATGCAACCTTCTCCTCCTTGTGAGAGTATATGTTAGCTTGGATATCATTGTCAGTTGGTAAATATGCCAGTTCTGTAAATGTCAGTGCCAATGCGCTTCAACATTATAACCTTACAGTTTATACAATATGTATGTTTCTGTAATATATCCAATTATGAACATCGATGGTCAAAGTTTTATAGCTTTTCAAATGGTACCTTTATAAATTAAATAATATTAACTTTCATAAGACAATTTCTGTACAAAATATTCTGTCAAGTACCTGTATGATTCTGGAGGATCATACATTTGAAGTATCAACAGCATCAATGTTGATTCACTTGATAAGACAATTTCTGTATAAAATAATGTCAATTACCTGTATGATTCTGAAAGATCATACCTTTAAAGTATGAACAGAATCCATGTGCTTGAAATTATGATTGCTTTTCTAAATCACTTCAATTTGAATAATGTAAATCTTACTTTTTCAGAGCATTTATTTCTGGAATATCCCACGGGCAATAATGACAGTTAAACATTGTGTATCATGTATATACAGGCTATTCAATACCAACATTTCCACATCTTACAAAACAACTACAAGAAATGATTTTGGAATCATTATGTATGGTGTTTACCGAAAATGTTCATACATATTCATATACAAGCTCTGCAAATACCGCGAGGACTTCAAAAGGTCATTCCATAGGTCATTACATTGTAACCAAGGTGAACACAGCAACGTGGCATATCAAGCAAATTGAAAATTAATCTTTTCCAAAATAAGATTCACATTCCCAAATCTCAAAGGGATTCATTCTAAATACTCAACCATTCTACTCAAACGCAGTAAAATGTAAATTTCCTTTCGAGTCCATTCATTTCTTCGCTAGTAAACGAGTCATTCTGTGAGCTATAGTCCCCCCACTAATGCTGTTAGCAGACGAATTAGGCATCAGTTTGTAACTTAAGGTAGTAAACATAATCCGGGTTAGGGATTCCACTTGTCAATGATGCACATTCAACTACGTATGTACATACATTGCTTGTTTCTCTGAAAGAGAGTAGACGTTCTTTGCATGACCCTTGATGAGCCTCCATGCAATCACACCTAAACCAACATGCAATGAAGTTAGGTCGTGTATAGCTTGTGGATTGATGCTTCCTTGTGCAGTTATACCTATAGACACTCTGCGCAATTTGCTCTCACGACGACTGGACTGGGGATAATAACTTGGTCAATATCTATCTCAGTATTGAACTCAGACTGAAAATGATGGATGCATACATCATGTTGATTTTCATTCTGAATCAGTATACCGTGGTATTAAAACGTGATATGTGAAAAATATACTGTAATGTTGCCACATTTCTGTATCATGAAACACACAAACTCATTACAAGATATTGTACGTATTGATGACACATCTGTGTCATTTGTGCCTGTGCTAATTAATGAAACTGAAACGTTGGTATCATATGGGGCCGTTTGTAAATATATATATCTGTCTAGACACACATGTTGAACTCTATGTCATATCGACATATGAAGTATAGATCAGATCAGTTATAACAATGCTGACGTAAAACTCGTTAGCAGTTAATTAAAAGGCCATCACTTTGAAGTCGCTAATGGTAGACATGCGAGTGTTAGATTTCATATATGTTTTTTCATATGAGCCTATTTCATTAAATCTTCATGTCAATGTCCTTTTGTATATTTTCAATGCTTGAAGAAGTATTCGAATCTTTGTAAAGACAAGTTTACAGGTTGTTATGTATTATTATCACAACACAATGAATACGCCAACTTGTTCACAAATAGCAAAGAATTCAACACTTGCAAACTCATTTTCCATACAATCAATATTATTGTTGAATATATATAAAGGACACATTGCAATTACCTAACCTTCAGAGCCAGACCTGATAGCAAACTGCCGATGTCTTTATCTATCTAAAACTGATAATGAAACTAAGCAATAAAAAACGTAAACGCTCATCTACGACCATCCTCCTCATTACAGTTGATGAGGTTGCCATATGATGCTTCAAAGCAAATCTCCCCACGCCGGTGTGCATTATGCATAACACTTCATCTTTGCACACAAAAATGCATTCACAACATCTTGGAAGAGAAAAAGCCGCGACATTTCAATAGACAGTGTTTACAAAACATGTTATCGATTCTTTAATGTAATGAGGTGTTTGCATTGAGATGGTAATCGGGATAAGAGATATTCTAGGATTATGTGTATGGTAGGTGGTATTCTTACCTTAGTCTATTGAAGAAAGGTGTCTCCATAGACTGAACATCTCAATGTCATTGTGATATGAAAGTAAGCGTGTCATGGATCGCCGTGACGGGCAGTATTTATCCATTAAGTGCTTGATTTTGGACGCGCAAATGTTGTTTGTGTTCATCAATGTTTCAGAGCACATTCAGCGATTTATCACCGAGGAGGATGCGTCATGCAACTCATGCCATCCATCAATTTGACCAATCTTCATCCTCAAAAGCAGAATCCACAACAAGCACGATATCAGAATGTGAACATTCAGAAACACAGGACCAAATGATAAGGATCCAGATCTACGTCGCATGGTCCAAAACAAGGAATAACCAATGCCACTCTCCAACCACCAAATCCAGGTTGCGAATGCCTAACCGTTCAGTATAACTCATCCCTTCCCATCATCAAGCCTGACACTGTCCGTAGCGGCCACTGCTAATAGGTACCTCTGTTCGCCCCACTGGCCAATAAGTTCTGATTTTCCACTCCAGCGCTCACCGGCAACAGTATTTACGCTAACCAGTGCTCAGCGTTACAAGAGTCCCGTGCTGTTAGCCGCTCTCAGAACTTGTTGCATCGACTCTTGAGGGAGTGAACAAAGACAATGATGACAGCATTGTACCCGCCTGTAGGCACATTACGCACAACGTCAGTATGAAATCAGTTAGGCATTTTCATTTCGGTTAAAGTCCCTTGGCGTGATTTCATCAATTTACTTGACACACTAACTCGCGGGAAGCTTTTGCAATGGAATTCGGACGGTCTTACTAATTATGTCGACATGCGTGAATATGCATGTTGCCCATCTCTTGGGTCATTGGGTTACGTGGATCTGACACAAGCTTCTGTTTGTAGTAAGTGCTTAAGTCATAAAGGCTCTTCCTGGCTTTGTTTTACTAGGTGGAATCAAGTCCTTAGAATCAGCTATCTCAGATGTAACGAACAGAGGGAACTCCCGCTGACTCAGACGGTACTTCTCGCAGTGAAATACACATCTTCCACTTGACTGTTTGTTTTCAGCTTTCGATGTATTGGTAACACCAATTTACCCATATGCCCGCGAAATATGAGGATGTGAAAATGGCGAAATCATTGACTAATTACAACTTAGTTGTTTTCAAATGGCAACAAGACTTAGGAGCAGTATCCCAAACTTAATGATTTATGGCGAAATTGAAAGGAAGTTTAAGATGTATGAGGGGGATGGTAAACTTCAGGAATAAAACAGCAGTGGGTAATGTAAAGCATCCACACTTAGTTTATATTTATATTTATCATGATTCAAGAAGTGATGGAAATAATAATAAGTGGTTAGAATGTATAACTATTGTATACCGTGATGAAAAGCCCATATTCAGTTACGACAAAGTTGCTCACTAACTCTGTTTCTTCAAGAAATGCAAAATCAAATCTAGTTCTAATCTATCTATATTGGTATATAAAACCTGAGCTCTCATCATGTATCTCTTCCTGTATTCAAATTTAGAACTTAATCATAGATTTCCGGTAAACGCTGGTTGATCGAAAAACAACTGGCAAGAGAGGAAAGAACATGCTACCTTTGTACTTCCTCTGTGGTTGCTGACGAATGCCATTATTTATTTCAATGTGAATTCTTTGCTCTCAATACGTCGCTGATTATTATTATTAGTTTCCCAATTCTCAGAAATTGGCAAAACTATCTTCCCACAACAGCACTAAGGACTTGAGAAATGTACGTAAATTTACAACTATACAAATGAATGTGTCCTAAAACGCTTCATCCTGAAGTTAATTTGAACCTAAAATATATGTATTTAATTTCTTAAATTGTTTTATCCTATTTATATATGTTAATTATATATTGTAGTCTTGTACCAACGTTGGTGGATATGAAATCGGATAACGACTTTCAGAATTACCTATTTTTTACTATACACTGACGTTCCTAACAGTAAATGTCCGGAGTACACGGAGTCCGGACTAACGGGATCCGAACTAACGACCTTTTACTGTGCACATTACTCCAAACCTTATTGTTGATGTCCAATTCGGGTTTATTATTCTAAACCTTTACACGAAGACTCAGGGTCAATTACAAACGCGTGCTTGTAATTAAACCTAAGCGTAAATACCAGATGGTATACATTGTGTGCCCCCTTCAGTTGGACTACGGCTATGCATGTATGGTTTTATTGTGAAAGCAGCGCTTGGCCTTCACTGACGATAACCCAATACCGGTAGCTTGATAATTGTGTTGGACTTTATCTCAAGATGTTGGAACAGAAGCATTTGGTATTGATTGTCGTCAGTTTTTGATGAACAAAAACGCATAAAGCAATTATCTGAATTAGAACATCGATTAGAACTTCAGTCACATATAGACTCTGATGTCATTGAATACTGACATGCCCACGGGGCTATACGCATGCAAACCCATGAAATACCAGAGGATCAAGTTAACGGTAATTGGAAAGAACATACGGCAGCGAACGCCAAAAGGTGGATGAATCCTTTTGGAGAATGAAATCGAAAAACTTTATTTTGGCTAAGATTTCATAACGTTTACTTAATTCTAGGGGCGGTCGGGTAGCCTAGTGGTTAAAGCGTTCGCTCATCACGCCGAAGACCCGGGTTCGATTCCCGACATGGGTACAATGTGTGAAGCCCATTTCTGGTGTCCCCCGCCCTGATATCGCTGGAATATTGCTAAAAGCGGCGTAAAACATACTCAATCAATCACTTAATTCTACATCACAGCTCAATGTTTACGGTGGGGGTATAAACTGCAGGACAAAAGAAGTATATACCCACGTTTGATGGTAAATAAAAGAAACAAGAAATTGTTATTCGATGGTGATGTATTTGATACGGGTATCATTGTTGTGTCTTAGGGCCGGAAGTGTGCAGTGTTGCGGCAACTGTTTTCAGCCCAGTACAATTTCCATGACGATTTATTTGTTTGCAAATCCTATGTTTAAGTGTGTACTTTCTTTTCCCGGCATTTCAGTTTACACAATGTGCTCCATTTAAATTATTATTTATGAGAGCTTTTGAACCAGTTTTCTACTTGTTATGATAAAATGAGGGTTTCTGTGGTAAAAATGCCCCAACATGACTTTCAAATCCGATATAAGTGAGTGAGTTTGGTTTAACGACGCTTGTAACAGTATTCCAGTTATATCGCGGCGTGTCAGCTTAATGTTGGAGGATGTTTACCACTTCGGTGAAACCCACGAGCACGAGTATGGTGCTGACAAACCTAGAAACATAATCGGGGCGAACCGGGATTCGAACCCACAATCATAGGTTTCTGGCGTGCTCAAGGGACGCAACTCTGCACAGCGAATCACGGCGCCTTAGACGACTTGGCTACCCGTGCCCCCAAATCCGATATAAAACAACATTTAATCCAGTACTATGTATGATGACCGATTTACATTAAGTGAAACTCCGTTTATCCAGACGACAGAGTCCCAAATGTAATCGTCCGATTTAACGATCGTCCTGATAAACGAATCATTGGTAACCAGTAATGTCCCATTTATGCGAAGGCGTTCCGAATTCACGGTGTCCAGATTACTAGGGTCTGAACTAACAAGTGTTATATACAAGTATACAATGCTGTTTACGACAACATACAATGTCCGCATTCCGAGGTTACAACATTCATGGCCTCAGTAAAACTTTCAAAGAGTAAAACAACAAACAAACAAACAAACAAACTGTCAGGTGAACATTTGACTTGCCTTTGCATGCCTTTATGACGGGTGCCACCGGTGGGGCAGGAAACGATCGCCTTTTCGCGAACACCTTGTATCATCGATATTTGGTAGCACTTATGATTTAATCTGTTTTTGTAGATATTTATTATGATTTGGCTTTAATTTAACAATTGAAGAACTCCTACCGTAATCATATAATGTAAATGTATGTCACTATTGACAACAATAAATAGCAATAAATCACTATAATGTATACATAATTCAGCTGATAGTGAATAATTAGTAGTCACATTTGCAATTAATTACATATCAGCCCAGCAGCCAACCTACAGTGGTGGCAACATCTATAATGTCAAAATGTTATTTCATACGATTTGGTCTAAAAAAGATTCCCATATGTCATATACTGATGTTGGAAACATTACTGTATTAAGTTGAATGTACTATATAAGGCATATGACAGCCATACAAAGCCTCGTGTCCATCATGCCTTGCTTTCCCATTATAACTGACGTCCACGTGTCTGTCGTTAGTCTGCGTTGAGCCAGCACTGGTCATATACTTAGGATGCTGCTGCCTCGTCACTCAACAGATGGACCCCTTGCGTAAACCTCCGGCAGTAGATGCTGTTCCTCGATTTCAATATTATCTCCTGTCTACGGCGCATTCCTGCGTCCCAAAATAGACCTATACTCCTAACAGGGTGGTCAATTTGCAGACACCATCTGTACAGACGGTCCGGTCGGTCTCGCAACAAACAACCATGTAAGGATTACGAAGGAAGACAGATGTCCATGTAATGGCCACACTCAAGTTTACAAACGTAGATTGATCCGTATGTTTTTTTTCTACACGATTCTAAAGGTCTGGTGACGTGGCGTAGCGTGTTTCCACGTCATAAACGTTGTTGGTTGTAACCGTCAACGTCGTTTGACGTTAATCAATTACGAAGAAAGTGGAGTAATAATGGATTACTTCCGTGAAGTATCTGGTAAATTCAAAAAATCTTTACCTACTTAGGCTACAGAAATATTTTACCCTAGTTCCCGACACAGATTATAGATCGGTGTAACACCACACATGCAAACAGTGAACAGCTTGTTACGTGCCATTCATGTCGCTATCAAGATATGAATGCATGTATGTTTTGTTTAACTTTTCTTTTATCTATTTCATTTTTGCCCTTTTGACATCGAACATTTCTTTGTATTAATCAATCTTCAAACGTGTGCTTTTCATTAATGCAGGAATGTAGTCTGCTGCTGTTATCATTTTCAGAAACACTTGATTGATGTTTCCGGAAATTATCGATGTCATAATTATTTTACTTTGTGATCCTAAGTGATTATGTGTGTTGATAATAATGATTATGCTGCTGCTGCTGCTGCTGCTGATGATGATAATAATAATAATAATAATAATAATAATGATGATGATGATGATGATGATGATGATGATAATAATAATAATAATAGGTTCTGTACCTGAAATGACTGTCAACCAAGCAAAGTGCCATATCAAATCGGCCCAGACTCAATTTGTCAAGGAGAGGCTTCCTGAACAACCACTGCATCGAATTTATGTGCAGTGTGTTGAGAAGATCAGCAATCCTACAGAGTCCTTCGCTTGGATGAAGCCGGCTGGCCTGAAAAGTGAAACAGAAGGCTTTCTGTTTGCTGCTCAGGACCAGTCACTTCCCACTCGAAACCGTCAATGTGTGATTTTTGCATCAAAATGTGAATATGAAACGTAGATTTATGTAATGAATTTAATGAGACTGTCCAACATATTGTGAGTGGATGCCCAG